AGTTTGACTTTATTTTCATACTTTGTTATCTATTATGGCAGCTGACTAAGATAAAATTGATATTAAATTAATTATACGTTAAAAAATGAGAAAATGGTTTTTTTCCCCTCAATTAATCGTCTAAAAATCTACGCGCGTGACAATTGAAAAGTTCGGTAGGGCGTCAACTTCCCGCGACATCATCCGATCAATTAATCGGCACGATTGATCGCCGAGGAGATGACCTGGCCAGAGTCGGGAAACGCGCCCCGCTGTCGTATCGAAAGAGAGGTCCGTCGCTGTTGTCTCCCTCCACGTCGACACCTCTCTAAATCGGTCGTGCTTTTATTAGACTCGTTCCAAAGGCCTCGCCTCAGCCCTTCCCCCTTCTCTGCTCGAGCATTCCATCGGAAGCGAGAAGAGGTAATCGCTCTCCTCCTTTTGGCTTTACGCTTCTATTTTTCCTTGCTTAAACCTTTAATCTTGTGGCAAGTGTTGATGCGAGTTTGGCTTAACATGTAAGTCATGTAAGAATCGTTTTGTTCTTTCAAAGATCCTGTTGGAATTTGATTCTCGCAGATTCTTGCCTTTGTTTAAGTAGTGCAAGTCTCAATCTTGCTGCTGTTCCTTATGGAATTGGGGGTTAAAGGTGTTAATGTGAGACATGAGGGCTTTCCTTTAGCCACCACTGATGTTTGTGGAGAATCTCGGGGTTTTGTTGCCATGAAGCTGGATTTTGTTCACTCTAGATACAAAATTTGATGTTTCGGAAGAATGTCATGGTTTTGTTACTTTGGAATTGATTCTCTACATATTAAGGGTTGATTTGATTTTCACCTTTCCTTTAGATTCTGTCTCCTATATTTGATTCCTTCCCTCTTGATAGAGCATGTGAAGCTAATCCTATCTGGATCCTTGCTTTTGGATTTTGCTTGTGTTGTAGGTCCTGTAGAGATTTGAGGATGGGTCACAGATACGGGGAGTAGCCTGCTAGTGTGGGGAGCTTGAGCCTCACTGCAAGTGATGGAAACTCTTCCTGATGTCTACCCTTTAACAGGGTTACAAATTGGGTAAGCTGCTTGCTTTAATTATCGAGTCCTGAAATTTGGAAATTGTTGCTCATCTCCTAAAACATTTTTCTGCAAGAAGTTAGATTTTGCTTATTCTTGGACTGCTCTAGCCCAAAATTCAAATTGGCATATGATAGTGTTATTCTATCAAGTTCTTTTCTAAAGGATACTTCAAATAAGAGTTCTACTTAAAAGTTGAAACATTTTTTGCTTAAAAAAATACTCTTTCCTTTAGCTAGTCCTTGGATTGCTTGTTTCAAGGAAAAAGTTGCCCTCAGATTTCTGTCCAGACGGCATACTTGCGCTTCATCTTGATGGATAGCGTTCATGAACGTATACCTAATATGGATTTTTCCTCAGGGACATACAGTCCTATGTGTCTCAGGCATTCTTATATGTTGCTCCCTTAAGCAGAAGACTCCTTGTTATGGTTGATAACCGACCCTGGTCAGAGAACAAGCAGTCTAGCTCAACAAGGATATGGCAATTTATGGTCACAAAGGTCTGCCCTATTCACCCTTCTTTGTTGGCACTTTCCGCTTCATTTCAAAGGATCATCGCTCATTTTGCTACTTAACTTTCAGTATAGGATGTCTCCATTTATGAACACTAGGGTAGCACAAAATACTTTAGATATAGGAAGCAGATGTGACAGTCATGATGGTCATCAGTCTTACCATGATAAATCCAAGAAGTTCTACCGATGGCTTCGTTTAATGGATTCTTCTAAATTGCAAGAAAAGTACTTGCATGCAGTCATGAATTTGAGCAAATCACTCCATGGCTTTATAGTATTTGAAGTGGCATGGAAAGATGTGCATGGTATCAATTACCTAAATGAACTTCAGGTATCAATCATGTAACTCATCTCTTTGTCATGTTGTTATCTTTAGTTGATAGGAGAGTTATATCTTGTTTTCAGACAGATACATCTTTAGCACTGGAAGTGAGAACCATGAAGAAGTGGGAATTCTTTGATCCCGAGCATGCCTCAAGTTGTATATCACATTGGTTCTCAGACTGCATATCGGAAACTCAATCACTCAAGGACTATCTAAAAAAGTTAACTGACCTGGATCTTCAAAATTCCAGTTCGCGATCCTTATCTGGTCTTGAAGTATCTTCTTTAGATGTTCCACATGAAAAAGAATTCTCAGATGCACAAGAGACTCCCTTCAAACCGAAAGATATGGACACTGATGGAAAAGGACTATGTAATAAGGAAAGTAAAGTTGTCCAGTATGAGAATGACTATATTCCTGACCAAAAGTTGTGCACGTTAGTACCATCTGATGAAAAGAAATCATTGATGGACATAGATGCGAAGGATGATGCTCTTATCTCACCTACTAATTATGCTGATACTCTAATACTATTTCGATTTAATGACAGTTTACTGCCATTCAAGCTGAAGCAAATTATCATGTCTGATATTAGGCTTCTAACTTTGCTCGAGAGTGGTCTTCCTTCATGGGTTATATTTTTCCATTCCTATCCTCTGTTCTGTCACTTCTATCGCCCATGGATGCGGCTTCTAGTGAAGACCCTTCATGTATTGGTATCATTGGTGACAGTCATCATTGGGTTTTATGATTTGTACAAAAATGTACCTCTTTTAAAGGCCACAGCAGCTCGCCTTTGCGGTCCACTTTTTGATTGGATAGAAGCATGGGATATGGTTACTCGGATACAGTACCTTGGGACAATATTTCTTCTCCAAAATGTCCAGAAGAGCATTAATTGGCTTCTAGTGATGGCTCGTACAATAAAAGCGATACTAACAGTGATATCAAAGCCATTATTTGGTCCACTTGCAGAAATCACAAGTTTCATCGCTCCTTTGTGGAATGTGTTTGCAGATATTGGTGGGCTATTTTCTTCAACTATATGGTCTTCAATGGAATCCTTGTACAATGTGATCACCGCTCTTGCTGAGGTTTTCTTGTGGCCATTTGAGGTTGCCTACATATATGTCTGCACTACAGGTACCCCACAGCTACTCTATTTTTTTATCAATTTTCATTTCATATTGTCTTATACAGCTAAGCTATTTTGAGTATCATTGTCTTCTTCCTCTTCCAATTTCAGCAACATTGGTTTATCCGATCTTTTGTTGCATCTGGGAACTTTGTATTCTTCCTGCTCGTTGTGGTATGACTTTGGCAAGTTGTGTCCTGTCTTTACTATCAAAATCATATTACTTGCTAAAGGATATTTGGGAGACTATCAGTAGCACTTTTGAGTTTTCATATCTATCAGAGACGGAACAAAGTACATTTGATAGCTCAGTTTTGCAAGAGCTATGGAATGATCTCTTTTCGCAGGTTTGCATCTAAACTGTGATTCATCAATTTGATGTCTTGATATAAAAGAATTGAACAGAAGTTTCTTATCAGGTTTTTCGAGCTATTCGAAGCATCATAAATGGTCTTCTAGCATTTTTTATTTCATGCAACCGGCACCGCCTAAGGTATCGACAAAATTTCATTCTGCCTTAATAATTTTATTTGGGCTTGATCAATGCTGGGTTGACAATAGAGGCATATATCCCAGTGTCTGTCGTGTCATAGCTACTAGATGCATGGCATAACAGTTTCTTCCTTTTATATGTGGAGGATGGATGGTCATACTTATCTTTCTCCATTGCATCAAAAGCCATACCAATTGATAAAATGATAAGTTGGGTGATCAAACGTATACAAAATCTGGCATTTGGTCCTATAAACAAGCTGTAAGAAAGATCGCTAGACTTGGCATGTCTACTCAAATTCAAACCTTGGGTGCTAGCCAAAGCCACATATATGCGCTAACATTTGGCAAAATCTCGGAAAGAAGGGGTAGAGTTCGTGTGTTTGATCTTTTGACCTGCTTTTATACCATAATAGAACTACCATAATAGAACTATAGTCAGATAATCAGTTTTCTACTAGCTTATAATGTTGCTACAAAAGATTCGCCTTCCAAGAATTCAAACAGCTAGTTCTATTGATACAGTGAACTCACAATTATCCAACTTTTCAAAGCAACTTCAATATGCTTTTGACAAATACAACAAACATAACAATGCTAGATTGAACATTATTGAATTCCGAGTTTCTTTAGGAACATTTAATAGTGAATTATCAAAATTTATTTAGCTATGAATTTCCTTTCAATAAATCTCATGAGTAACTCGGTCCTAATGCAGCTTGTACAACCACATGAGCGCATTCCTTCATCACTTAGCTGGCCTCATCAGAATGACACCTCATAAACGGCATTGTGGGGAAGCACGACAACTGGAGCATAGTCATCAGGTAATTGCCAGATTATCTGTGACAATAAGCAAATAGACCAGCAATTCATACTTCAAATTTGATTGCTCAACATAAAATTCTGCCTAATCTAATAACAAAATCTATTTTATTTCAGGAAAATCATCATGAATGTGATCTCTGCAAGTAATTTCCTCCACTTCCAAGACACTGTGCAGTGAATACATAAACTGTGTAGGGAACCTATCAAACTATGCGTTGGACCTGCAATGAGCAAAACGTGTACCTTCATTTTAGATGTAATGCTGCATATCTGTACCTATGCATGTAAATACTGCATTTTTTACCTTTCTTCTACCATGTAGTAGTTACCATATGCAGATGTCAAAGTCTTGTAGCATTAGAATTAGAACAGTGCATAAAGAAAAATGTATATGGCACAAAGAAAAGTGGATACAGAACATTGTAAATGAATAATAAATGCAAATAATCCATTTGATTTGAGTTCACAAAGATTATGTGATAGCAATGATCATTGTATTTCACAATATGCTAGATGAAAGTATTACTTTCGAAACTACTAGTTGGATTGCTTTTGAGCTAGAATTTGTATCTCGGTTCAATATTGGTTTTGGTGACTAATTAGATCAGTATAGTACCAGTATATAGGATGACACATCGATCCGTATCGACTGAAAATGATTTCTATGATTTGTTGCCGATCTATGGTTGGACTGATAAATATCATTGGTATGAAGTGGTATGACTTCTTGTTTTTGAGTTTTGACCCTAATAATATATCTCGATTTGTTTGTTTCATAATGTGATTTTACCATATACATCATGCACTAAATACCACCTATTCTTTTCATCATATACAACTATCATATAAGTAAGCATCGTAAACGTTTTAGGTAGATGCAATAAGATGAGTTTGAAGATCAACCCCTTTTTTTTTTGTATCAGTAAGGTCCAATTATAATTATTAGGTACTTTTTTTTTTTGCATTATATTAAACTAATTATAAAATGCTTTTAAATGAATTCCAACTTTGTGTTGCATTAGATTAACCATTAAAATATCTCAATAAATACCCGAAAGATGGATGCTACATGTCTTTATTATACTTGTATGTTGATGTGATAAGAATGTGATGACATACGTATCACATACATGAGCATCATTGCATACCTTCTTATATATTGAGGTCAGAAATACAAATACTAATTATCTATGAGAAGATATTCTAAGAGTTAAAACATGTTGTCTGTGTTACATGTTTTGGAAATTTGAATCTGTGCTGCAATTATTTAGAACATTTCTATACCAATTTTAGTTCAGAAGTTGAAAAAAAAAAAATCCCAAACAAACAGTAATTTAATAATTCATGAATTAGTAGTCAAGACATATTTTATCCTTTCCAAAAATCTCATACATCCCTTAAAGCTTAAACTTAATATCCATAATCCACCCAAAATATGTTCTTGCAACATATGAATAATAATAAAATAATAATAAATTTCTATATATTTTTTCCCAAGCCGCACAAACCTTCATTGCACACCCACCATAATTTTCCATACATAGACAATCAACTCTTCTACCCGGTAATATGCCTACATTATACATAGTTTATACTACTAATATATATCAATTTGCTAGACATATAACTAAAAATGATAATTATAGACTATGTAAGTGTTACCTTATTTGTTCTTATAATAGATTTGTCATGACCCGGGTCTGATGAGCTGGCCAATAACTCCATTTTGGTCCTTCAATCGCGGATCAAAATACTTAAGCGGGAGTTAACATAGTACACTCATCAAGCCCATATAAGCTAATCATACATATTGCCCACTTCCGACGTAGGACTAATGAGATGTTACAAGATTGTTCTATACGTCAACTTATCATAAATAAAAAGAGCCCACTGATTCTTCATTCAAAGGATTAGGAATAATGTGGCATGTACTTCAATTACAAAGTTAAGTGGGATGTTGATTAATGGGATAGCTACGTAAAATCATCGGTCATTATCCCTTAGTCAAAGCTTTGACTAACATATCGAGATAGTGACCATCCATGATGATATCAAGTTGGCACTGATGTGGATACATCAGCTTATAAAGTATTTGATAGGATGTGATCTCGGATTGTTAAGACCCATAATCAAAATTTAATCAATTACTTTTATATTTTTTTTAATAAAAATAAAATCAAGGGTAAATTCTAAAAAGAAAACCCGCAGGCTTGATAAATTCTTATAGAAAGCATCAACTTTCAAAAATTTTCACAAAGAACTCTTTTTTCATAAATGATGATTTTGCCCTATTCACTTTTATCGTTGGTCACTTTCACATATCGACTACGCTAGTTTTAGCTACCTCCACTGTTAGTTAATTCTACACTGACCACGCCAACGTGACCTTGCTTACAAGAAAGGAAAAATGAGGGAGTCATTGTCAAGGAAGGAGGGGACAATAGGAAAAAAAGGAGGAATGCTGACGGACAAAGGAGGGGGCCATAAGCGATAAAGGAGGGTGGGTGAGCCCGCATTTGGAGGCAGCCAAGAGCACGTGATTATTCGAGATAAATGGAAATGACGAATCCAACAGATGTGACGATATAGGGTGGAGGCGATAATGAGTCCAACAGATGTGACAATAGCTCTAACTAAGATAAGAATAAAATGATTAAGAAAAAGATGTTTTATGAACATTTTTAAAAGTTGGGTCACTCTATAAAAATTTCTCAAATTTAAGATTTTTTAAAGCATTTGGGCTAGTTATCGTATACAATAAATTATTTTAAAGCATTTAGACTAATTCTTGTATATAACAAATTATTTTGAAGAGTCAAAATTAGTAACTATTTAAAAAAAAAACTTAAAAATAAAAAAATGGTTAGAGACCTTTTAAATTTATTTTTAAGTATCTTAAATATTTTTATCTTTTGTTTTTTAAATTATATAAATAGTATTATTATCACATTACTCTTAACTTTATAATAAGATAAATTGTTTTTATTATATTTAATAATTAAATATATAACATTATTTTTAATAAATATAAATGTTATATATCTTTAAATTATTTAATATTATTTATTTTGAATCGATTTAAATTTTAGATTGATTGAACAAATTAAATTGTCTTAGTTGGTTCATTAAAAAGATGAAAAGAAAAAAATAGCAGCATTTAATGGGAGTGAAAAGAAAATGGCTTTTAAGATTAAAAAAAAAAACTACTAAAAAAATATTCTTATCGTTTTGAAAAGATAGTGAGTGTTATAGTGAGACTTTTTGAAAGTTAAGATATTAATTTTTTTTGGAAAGAAAAATTCCTTCTTTTTAATATAGATAAGATCAATAGGGAATCTCAAACTGGCAAAAAGAAAATACACCATCTTTTCGTACGACTGCAAAAAGAGAAGCGAAAATAGCTTTTTACACTTCCCCGTGCCTCCGATCCAACGGCCTATCATTTTCGACCGAGAGATCGTGACCGTCCAATTCGCACAACCGAGGCGCGGAAAAGGCGACTCCATCGGTCACCTTCCGTTGGTCCGCAGGATTCCCCACTACGGCGGACGTGAAAAGTTTATGGATTCGGACTCTGAATACCGCCTTTAAATCCGCGGGCTACGCATCTCGCCCTCGCTCGACCTCCCCTCGTCTTCTCCTCCCGGTAACCAAGGTTGGGAAGGCAGAGATCGATCGAGGGATGTCGGGTGCGGGGCAAGAGGAGGACAAGAAGCCGGCGGATCAGTCGGCGCACATCAATCTCAAGGTCAAGGGGCAGGTTCGATACCTTCCGTTTCCTCTTCTTCGCCCCTTTCCCCCTTTTTTCTCTGTTTTACTTATATCCGATGTAATGGATTTCTTTGTGCTATGTGATCTTCTGCTTTTTGGTTGCTAGCCTGAGGATTCTGATGTAGATCATCTCGCCTTTTTCCATTAAAAGATTTGGTGTTTCGTTGGCGTATTGAAGCGTGGTTGTTGGCGATGGAAATCTTCGCCAAAAGATTTGACGTTTTGTGAGTTGCTTGGGTCTTTGGAACGATGCTTATGCTCTTATTCTAAATTTGAACGGCCCAATGCACTTGGCTACTGCCCATGAGAAGGTCTACTGTCAAATTAAGTCTTGAACTTGATGAGACTATGGAGTATGCTGGATCATATCAATTAGACATGTTCTACGTCTCAAGCTTAAATTCTTTTACTTCCATTTCGTTCGTGACTGTTGCTTGTCGTTTCCCGAAAGAAAAAGCTGACTCCTTTCAAATACTCTAACCCTATATTTAGAACTGTGTTTTTCATGAATTCCTCAGTTGCTATATAGATTTGTCTCGTCCAATGGATTGGGAAAGAGTGTATTAAGGTTCACAAAGCTGATCTTGGTTCACCGAGGACATTGATATGTCAACGAAAGTAGTGGGTCTGCAGATCCACTGATTGAGTTTTATGCTGGGTTTCATGTAGGATAGAGTGCGTGTGCGGTTTCTATCTTATCTTCGGTTGGGGTTAAACAACAATAAGTTCAGAGTAATAACAGAATTTAACTGGACGGACTTGATATTTAAGAAATATAATATGTTGATATAATTGAACGAGGACATATTTGGTAGGTGTTCTAATGCATGTATAATCTGATTATTAAATACTTTGTTGTTCCACCATAATTGTCGTGCGTAAAGATCCATGTAGGCTGGCCTGATGACCTGGATTCTTGGCTTCTTGTTGTTGGACAAGTTATCCAGTCTTGTTGACCCACTTGTCAATTATGCAATAGAACTTTCAATTAGTTAGAATATAATGTTGATACAATTGAAACTTGGCCTTATTTTTAAGTGAAACTTCATATATAAAGCCTGAAGAGGCTAGAGTGTATGTGCAGCTGGCAGAATTAGGTAGGTGAAGAAGGGAAGTTCATTGAGTAGTGGTTTGTATCTAGGAACCTTGCTTAGATCTTATGTGTACTACCTTCTTTGCGCAAGAGATTTAACTTTATGATGCTGCTTAATAATATATGTCAAACAAAAAAATGGTGGAATTATCTGAACATATATAAAAAAACCATTTTTAATTTTAATCTACTGCAATTTTTTTAGGATTTATGGCACATGTATGTGTCAACTTCTTTGAGGACAAAATAAAAAGAGTTTGCAAGAGTAGTGGCCTGATTCTCATATGTTCCATCCATGAAAGTATCAAAAAAACTTTCTCAGTTTCGCAAGAAAAAAGTGCAGGCAGTTTGTTAACATCTATGATTGCTTTCAAAGCATTATGTCAGAGGTCTTGGTATCAGTTTGAGACTGAGCACATTGAGGACTATGTTAATTAGTTCATTTATTTTGTATCATGTTATTCTTCGAGACAATTTGGTTGTCATCAACTGTTACATGCTAAGTGTTTGAGGCAACTCGTTGCTCCAATAAACATAGTGGTCAGTATTTATTGGAGCCTTCAACTTTTTGTTTGATATTTTGGGATGCTAGAGAAGTCAAA